GCACCGGCGTCGAGCATGCCCCTTTGGTGTTCACGCGGGAGGGGCGCTGGGCCCATGTCCGGAGGGTCTCCACGGCAGGAGTGGCCTCCCCTGGTGCCGGGGGAGGGGCTGGGAGAGCGGGGGGTACTTCTCTCCCCCAAGCACGGCGCCCAGCACCCCCCTGCGAGGGGACCGCCGAGACCGTTCTGCCTCCACCTCCTCCACCTCCTCTCCTTCCACCTCCTCGCCCTCCTCCCCTTCTTCCCTGCCCGGGTCCACCCTGCCCGTGTCCACCCACGCGCTCTTCCAGGCGCAGGCCTTCGGGCACCAGCTCCACGCCCCCTTCCCTTCGGTGCCGCTTTCCATTCGCCCGGCCCGGCGGATGGGCCGAGGTTCGATTGGCAGGTCGGAGGGGCCCTTGACCAGTCCTTTCCAGCCACCTCCACAATCAGAGGCACTCCAACCACCTCCATCCGCCCCTCCGCAGTCGTTTGCAAGCTTGGAGGAGCTCCTGTCCTTTTTTAGGAGGAAAGCGGCCCACGGCCTCTGCTTTCGGCGCGTCCCTGGGACCTGCGACTACGAGGAGTTGAGCGAGGGTGGGGACGGCCGGAGAAAGACAGGGCCCTGGCTGGGAGAACAGGAAGGAGGGGAAGGGGGAGGGGGAGGGATGGGGGGAGGACGGGTGCTGCTTGGCTGGTTCCAGCGGCGGATCTCTCAACCCGGAACGGCGAGTGCGGAGGGCCGGGGGGGCCCTTCGAAGCAGGAGGGCGGGCGAAAGGGCAAGGCCCAGGCACAGGGAGGCACATGCACTGAGGATACCTTTCCGTCGTCCGTGGAGGTGGTGGAGGTGTTTAAGTCCCTCCATGAGGTGCTGGCGGCCGTGGGGAGGCGGGACGGGGCCGAGCGCCAGGGCAGGGGGGGGGTGGAAGCACGGGAAAGAGAGGCTGGGCTGGGCACGGAGGAGGAAGAGGATCAGATGAGCTTGCTTCGGCTGTGCGACCAGAGCGCCGAGCCAGTCCTTGCGGCGTTGGGGCTGAAGACCGTCTCCCCGGCACCCGAGGAGGGGCCCTGGAGGCAGGAGCACGGGCGGGAGGGGGAGGCGATGGACCTGGCCGCGCTGGTAGAGAAGATTGTGCTGCTAGACATGAAAATTTTTCAGCTCCTTTCGACCATCAACAGACTTTTGCTGGTTGCCACCTCCGTCCCCTCTTCGTCCTCCCCTTCCCCTCCTCCCTCTATGCCCCCTTCCCCCTCCGCGTCCTCTTCCCGCACCAAGACGCGCGGTCAGAAGACGGCCTGTCTGGAAGCCTTAAGGGTCCTGGGTCGATGGAGACCCCTACTCAAGACGCTTCGCCTCCGCTTTCAGACAGAATGGCAGTATACACACGAGTAGGGGCATCGTCCTGGGCTAGCAACCTCCTCTTCGGCGGTGGGAAGCCCGGAGTAAGGGCCGTGTGGGCGGGCGTAAGAATGGCAAAAGCTGGACAGTCGGCTCCAAAACAAATGACACAAGGAGTTCCTGACCGCACAAGGGCTGGAGTGAGGGCGACTTGAGTCTCCGCATTCTTGTTTCTTTGATTTTTACACGGTTGGCCGGCGTGGCTTGCCTTGTTCCTCCCTGCCTTTCCACCGCCACCATTTGTTTGGTTTTCGGCCCAAACGAAAGCACCCAAAGACTCCTCAACACCTGTCGTCGTGGTATAACCAGTTGGCCTGCTCCTTCCCCGGAGGGTTGTCGGCGTGCACGTGGTTGTCCTGCGGGATCTTCTTCTCCCTCGCCGAAGAGAGCATGGACAGGATGGACAGAGCCAGCATGGAGGCTGTCATGTTCGGCCGCCAGTCCCTCCCCAGCAAATTCAAGCAGATGTCCCCGTTTGTGTAGACATGTTCATGCCGTGGCGGGGGTTGCAAGAAGTATACCGAGGGGGGCTTGCTAGGGTAGTCCATGGGGAAAGTGAACTGTCGTGGGAGAGACGTAGGGAGGGGACGCTGGGTAACGAACGAGCCATAATACTGAAGATACTGAGTGAAAAGGCACAAGTTCAGGCATACGGCTGAGTTTCCTGTGAAAAAATCTGTCTCGGACCCCTCACAGCCGCCGATTGCCGGCTTACTCGGACTAATATGTGCCAAGACATCCTAGAGGGGAAGATCATGCGACATAATACAGAACCGTCGCCCTCGCACTAGATCGTGCCCGCACAAATTCTCTTCCATCATCGCCTTCAACTAATCTTTACCTTAAGTTTGTACTTCTCCCCCGCAAAGATGGTCCCTTTCGCACCCGTCAACGTCACCACCCATACCCGAATGTTGTCCCCCACGGCCACCTGCAGATTTTCCGTGGGATTCGCCAGCCATTCGCGCAGCTCCTGTCCGGGTAAGGATGAAAAGCAAAGGATTTAAGTCACGAGAATTTTCCAAATTACGAGGACGAGGTAAGAAACAAGACCGAAAGCCTTGCTCAACAGCGGCAAAAGACACCCCATTCCGGTTTACCCACCTTTTGGACACGAAAATTGGCGTTTCCTCGCCGGAATTCTTTCCCCAAATGCTTTTGCATCCGATTCCCACCCAATCTTCCGCCACCGACCCCTCCAAGACTCCCACTGCGAATTGTACTCCTCTTTACGTCGTGGCCCGCGCTGGAACCTGCTGCATTCCATAAAAGCCCAAGAAAACGCTTAATTCGACCATGTATACTACCACCACGCTTGGCACTGCCCCGCCATGCGCGCATGATGCGTCCAAGCAGGCTGGATGACTGCAAAGCCCCTCCTCGCTTCTGAGCCAAAAGGGTGGTCAAAGGTAATTGTGGATGCAGGACTCGGAAGGTCTCCTCTTTTCTTCTCAGCAGTACTGATCTTGCTCTAATAGCTTTATTCGATTTAAGAATACATCTATTGCTGCTGATGCTGTGGGATTCGCTTCTGGTAAAGGCAGTGAAGAGGAAGAGCCAGAGCAGTACCAGGTTTGAGAGAGAGGGGATGCCATCCCGCATCCCTGCGCGTTTTACCCGCGACGCTCTCCTGCTCATCTTCCCTCCTCCTGTTATAAATATGCATGGACCCGACGCGATGGGTACGAGGATGTTTCAATGCGTTGGGGAAATTAGTTCCAAGACATTTATCTGAGGGGGATGCCGGGTACTTGCGTTGCCATCCATCACGGTGGGAGACTACTTTGCCCGAGCGTACTGACTTAATTGGTAATTTGGGTTGTGCGAGTCCCAGTGAATATAGTTTGTGCCATGATATCGTTTTAACTGAGGTCCAGTCATTGTCAAGCGTAGCAGTGCACATTTTAACCCTCAGTAACAGCAAAAGCTTCGATTACTGGGCTCTTATAACTTCTCAGACTTTACCCCCCATCCACACCCCCAACGCCCACAATGTTGTTTTGTATCATGCATTGAACATAAGACTACCCTTGAAGAACGATGTGACATATTAATAAGGCTATCAATGTTACGAAGGTCGGTGAGGGCCAAGTCCTTTCTCACAAAGATCACGGCTTGCGGGATTAGCCAATCCTAAGCTGCTTGCTGGCTTATTTCTCCTGACAATCTCAATAATCAAAACACTTAGGCTATGATAAAAGATCAAGAGAATGAAAATTAATCCTTCTAGTACTATATGCACGCGAAATTCGCCACATGGTGGTTGAAATGGTGGGCTTCCGAAATACAAACTACTGCAAAATTTCTCTGACGAAACCTGCATTGAATGGCGGGCGCTGGTGTTTTTGTCTGACTTCGTGGCGCAACGATGCCTTCACATCTATACTCCACGTTATAGATCCAGGAGAATTGTGATGAATAGATCATTGCGCTCGCTCGCGTAGCAGGTCGCTTTCACTTTCAGGGATTTTGATTAGTGACAAGCATGGATATAGACAATAGAAAGAAAGGAATCTATGTCAAAGCTAACTTTGACATAACTTCGAACCTAAATATGATATCAAATAATGCAATAGCCTACCAAAAGTCATGATCGCAAATGGTACATCACGGAATATTAGTGTCCCAAATTTCGCTTTGCCTTGAGCAGCGGGGACTCTAAGTCGATGCCGCTTTCCTTAATTTCTCATATCAACAAAGGGTCATCCATGGTAAGAAAAACACATTCTGCTTCGAGCGCCCTATCGTACTCTTGTCAATTTCAGGCTTTTTATATACTGTCAAACATCCGTCTCTATCTCGTCCCTCCGAGAAACCCAAATTCCCTGGACGGAAAACAGGGAAAGCAAATGCAACTGTTTCCATTCCTTCTTCAATCTGTGTCATCTTACGCATCATATTGGTACCCATGAAAGGTAGAAGAACAAGAAGGACAACCTGTGCACCGCTACACCAACGAAATGGGCCACGACGCCTGACGCCGCCAAATTATTTGTGCCTTGCACTGTATGAAAAAGATGTCTCATGAATTGATTATTGACTGATAAAATGAAAAATTACTTTCTGCATTATTTGTCCGCAACGTGCACCAATTTTGTTGGCACAAATATATTTCAGCCCGGGCTTGGTTTTGGCGACAGGCAAGAAGTCCGAGATAAAGACATACCAACCTCACAAACGTAGGCGCAAGAATAAAAGATTCCCCCGGTGCATTGCAGCGTCTTTGGAAAAACTTATACCCGATTTCACATGTGGGAATCTGAGATAGTCTTGATATTGAAGCGTTGGGGACATGCGTTTTACTCGGCCGAGGAAGCGGGCCTCCACCTCTGCCCTTCGCTTCTATTTCCGGTCGAGCTTACTTTTGGGTAAAAATTGGCCTTGCTCTGTTCAGGCCTCCGTTGTTATCCGTCTGGCCATCCAGGCTCAAAAGCAATAGAAGGACCGAGATTGCATACTGTGTATGCGTATGGGAGGTGAAGTTCTTGTTCTAAATGGAAGGACGCATAAAGCAGCCTCATTCTTGCTGAATTTTGGGTTGTCCTTTTTCCATGCCCGATTTCAAGAACTGGCACTCAAAAAGCTTCTACTCATACAGACCAACCCACATGCCCCTCTCCTAAGGTACATACGTAGATCCCTTTTGGCCGTAAAGACGTGCGTTTTGACAACTGCAGAACGTGGACACAGGCCTACTAGCTTGCTGCACCCTTTTTCTCCGGCTGGTTCCTCCTCCCTCTTGTGTTTGAGTGCTCGAAACGTTCCCTTAAGAAGCCATGGCTGAACGCAAAGCAGTCATCAAGAATGCCGATATGTCGGAAGATATGCAACAAGATGCGGTAGATTGTGCGTCGCAGGCTTTGGATCAATTTAACATCGAGAAGGACATCGCAGCGTACGTCAAAAAGGAGTTTGACAAGAAATATAACCCGACATGGCATTGCATCGTGGGCAGAAATTTCGGATCCTACGTGACACATGAGACAAAACATTTCATATATTTCTACCTGGGGCAAGTGGCTATTCTCCTGTTCAAGTCAGGCTAGTCAGGAATTTTTACATGGGAGCAACAAACCAATAAGGCGAATTCACCTGATAATTTGCGTGTACGATAGGCTCAGATTAAAAAAGTCGTTTGAATTATGTCAGATGGAATCGTTTTAATGTACAAAAGGAGGGCACAGCAGGCCATTTTGCGGCAACGGGTCTACGAGGCGACCGCTCGGGGAAGATAGTTGGGCTTTATTTAAAGTGTGCTCATCCCGGAAAGAAAATGGAACCGAGGACAGTCGGAGTAAGAACATTGCTAGCTTGTTATCGGAAACCCGTCTAGATTAATGGGAAAGGCATGGGCGGGACGAGCCCGTGCTTGGATGTGGACGGCAGAGAGGGGTGAGAGGCGTGCATCATGTTGCATCCGAGGCGGTAGGCATTGCACCCCGCTTTGGTTTCAAGAAGTTGACTTATGACCCGCGAAACAAATAGAAGGAATAAAAGAGATAAAGGACTGCAGCCGACGCTCTCCCTTCCCAGCCGTCGCCCCTCATTCCCCGTGGTCATGGTTTCTTCTTCTGCTCATCAAGTCTCCCTTCCATCACCGACCCCAACACAAGGAATTGATCCTCTGCATCCCCTTCCGTGCCATCGTTTTCTTCCTCTCCTCAAACCTGTCAAAAGATGTTCGTGCTCAGTACGCGACCGGGCGCAGTCTCACCTTCCCCCCCCCAAAGTCGCATGAATTATGATGTTTTTGCTTTTCCTTTCCCTTCCTCCGAGTATTCAGTACTGGAGCGCGAACAAAGGTACCGATTCCCCGTCATAAAGGGGAGCCTCCGGTGCTAAGTCCTTTCGTCCAGCTGCCTTTCAGTTCCACAATCACCCTGTCTAGGCTCTCGAACCCAAGTTGTCCCACCACTAGCCTTAGGCCCTCATCGCGTGCATCCATCCCGTCGTCTGCCGGCACTCGCGGTGCCAAAATTCGCTATGCCTGTGACCTCCACCCTGTCTTCTCGCCTTACGCTCCCCCTCCCGCACACAGACTATCTGCCTGACCCCCACGCTCTCATCGCACCCACCGTAAAAATCTTTCCTTGCGCTCGCCACTCCCAAAAATATCCCGAGGAATCGACGAGATGATTCCACTTCATGACGTCCCACCACATATGGGATCCGACACCTCCTTGGCTGCCTGCACTCCCTCACGCCCCCCCCCCCTTCGTCAGAAACAGTTTTATACTTACAGAGTAATTTTTCAAGCGATTACGCCGCTGAGCACTGGGTTCCTTTTCCTTTGCTACCTAGCTTTCCTTCATCCTTCCCTGAAGCGCACCTCCCTGCCCCTTACCCCTCCAGCACGCGGTCAACACCCAGGTCCTCCGCTTGATTATTCCTCGCTCCGTCTTCTCGCTTGAACCTCGGCTAGACCTTCCAGATGCCTCCCTGTAGCCCACCTAATTCACTATTTCCTCCTGCAAGCCTTTCCTTCCTTCCGCGCAGCTTCCTCTCACGTGCGCTGGCTGTGACGAAGCGTTCTTCCGAAGCCTATGGTTGAGCCCTACATTGGTCACCATCTCGACCTACACCTCCTCTCCTGCTTGCTAATCTGTACAGAGTCCACAAAGCACTCCAATAACTCCTTGCCACTCACAATTCGGTGCCTTCCCACCGGCCGGTCCCTCCCACTCCACCACGATCCATCTCACGCTCCTCCTCATGCTTTGAATCGCTCCTCGCCAGCTGCTGATTCCCCCAACCTTTGTCTCTCCTCTTCTACTGCCACTTTCGTCGTGTCCGTGACAAACAGCTCCAGGTAGCAGCCAAAGCACAGGATTGACAAGAATCCCACGCACCTTTTCCCATAGAGTATCCCCCTTCCCACGCCCCAAAATTGAACCCGTCGTCCCAGTTACCGTCATCATCATCTTTTGCTTTGGATCCTCCTAGTGATGGTCTTCGTCGTCGATGTACACCGAGTTGTACTCATCAGCGCATTCCAACATGCCCTTGACAAGGAAGCCTGCAGCAGAAATTACCTTGCGTGAAGGCGGGTAAAAGGTGAGAACCATAGCCATGCACACCATAGCTACAGCCATTTCAGGAGTCATTGTCGAGGCGAGCGTGTTTGATCCCATGATTTGATCGTCGGTGTGTGTATGGTAACTGTGGCGATTCAAGAGAAGAGGGGGACCGTGGGCCTGGGAGCTTAGCATGAGAGAGAGATGTGAACACATCATGCAAAAACCAAAAAACAGCACAAGTGCTGCCGAGTGTCTATTTCGCGTTCCCGACAAGGTGGCGTTGTGCCAGTAACTTCCAAACTGCTCCATCTGATTTCTTATGCCCCCCCCCTCCTCTTTCATTTCAAAGGAGCCGAATGACCGGAGTGGTCGCAGCACCGCACAGCTTGCAGGTACTGTGCAGGTAAAGGGCACGGTAAATTGCGATCAAAGACACCCACGAACGACCATCCGTCGCGCCAATCATCTCAATCCCAACCATGTCTCTCCAAAAGGCACGAAGGAAGAGGCCAATACATCTGAGACGGTGGTCGAGGCCAGGCAGCAATTCGTGCCGCTGGGCTCGAATTCTACGTCACGCGATGACGCTGTGACCGTCGCTAACAAGCAACGTCATGGCGGACAATGCCAACGCGAACAGACACTTTTGGTGCCCACACGACCCGAGTTCGTGCGCACATTAACCCTTGGTATGCTTACCGTGACGTGCATGTGTGGCTGGCGTGACCTTACTTGCGGAAACAAGATCGACATGTTTGAATCGGGGTGGCTGAAAAGCGCGAGCCCAACTAGTTGGTACGGATCGGCGCATTTCCAGCGACATGAAGCGACCTCGCCAAAAAGGAAAAAAAAAAGGGACAGTTCTTACTTCCATAGCACGACCCGTTCAGTCAAATGACATGATAATGTTTGTTAGAACGGGATGGGGGCCAGCTTAACATTTTTAATTACAGTATTGAGCTGATGGATTCGAAGAAGAAACTTCTGCAACTGCGTGAGCACACTGGTAATATCTACGTTTAGACATACCGTAGCTTAAAATGACTAGACAGACATTGCCACATGTTCGCAAGAGAGGAAAAGAAAAGATAAGAAGCTGGAGAACAGCTTGAAAAACCTCTTTATACTCATAGACTCTAGGAATGAAGTCCTACACTTTTCTCCGCGCAAGGTTGGATAAAACCCAACAAATCGCTGCTGAGTATTCATTTTCCTTAAGAGAGTGTTTACATATTGAGAGAGGTGCGCATCCACGCCATCTCAAATCCTTCCTTTGAATCCTCGGGCTAGCATGTATTGCTCCCCGCTCTCGCCACGGGATGCTTTCGGCTTCAAAATACGGACGTCTTCGTACCGACTTCGTGCGTGCCTCAGGAGTTCCTCCTCATCTCGCCCTTTGAAAAGCTTACATAAGACTGTTTTCCTGCGTTGCTTTTTCGTAAGGGCAGAGTTCTTGCGTACTTTCTGCAAGGCAAATACCGTGTCCGCAAAAGCCAACACCTAAAGTGAACAGGGAAAGCGCTCAAGTAAGAATCCTGTCAGCGCGCTGATGTCGAGCCGCGCCGCCAACAAATAGCCGTAGAAATACTTCCCTACACAAAAAAATTCTGAAGCGTGGAAACAAGAGAGAGTTCTACTTCTCCCCAGCTCTGTCCTCACCTGGTATGCTAGATCAAGTGTGCGCCGATGGTCCCTAAATTTGTCCCCCGACAAGTCCGGAGCCATGTCAGAGAGAATCACGTCAGCTGTGCCCTCGCATTCTCCACCTCCGTCTTTCCACATCCCTTCTTCCAACTGCATTCCGTCCCCTCCCACGTCGCGTCCCAGGGCTTGTCGTAGAGCCGCCTGGGTCTCCGCATTGCTGAAGTCCCCCAAGACGAACGAAACGCCCGGCACCGGTGCCATCGGCCGCAAATCGATCCCTATAACCCGACCCTCTCCTGAGGCAGGAGGAAAAAGGGAGCGCGGAGTGTTATTTGCTGCTCTTACATGGTTATCGCTGGTGCCGGAAAGGGAAGAGGACGCAGAGGGCGGGTGGATGGCTTGCATTACGACCTGACTCCAGCCTCCAGGGGCGCAGCCGAGGTCAATTACACTACACACAACCATGTTGGGTGATGAAGGTGAGCAAATTTCAAGAGAAACGGGTGAAGCAGGAAGGAAAAGGTCTGAACATCGATGGACACATGGGTTCCATCCCATCGATGTGAAGGGCCAAGCACTCTGGCAGAGCAGCTCAACGGCTTTCAACACTCACCAGTCACCGGGGCGCATGATACGGCACTTTTCTTGCATTTCCTTTGCAAGGACGCATACGATGATGTGCATGGAAAATTCGCAGTGTAGATGTTAAAGGGATGAGAACGCTGAAAAAACAAAAGAAGGCAAGGACTGGTTTTCAATCACGTACAAGTACAAGTGTATTATCGTGACCAGCTAAAACACGAATAACATGTATCCATTGACTTGCACATCGACTCCTTCAACCTCGCAAGCCCGTACAACTTGTATACATTACCTTGAGCTTGAAAGCAGCACGGGAACGGAGCTCTAGCTTGCGGGAGGCTTTGACAAAAGGATCGTTGACGTGGCGACGAATCCATTGGTGCACAGAAACAATGGTGCCAACACCATGACTGGGGCTATTGCCCGCGTGACGCTCTAGCAAGGGAAGACGACAGTCGAGACCCGCCCCAAATACCCTTGGTGCGGCAGCGCGCTGAAGAACAGAAATCATGCTAGGTCACAATGGTAATAGTTCTGCTCAAAATACTGTACATTCTTAAATTGCAATTTTCCACTTGTTGCATCAATTTATGCTGAGGTACTTAAAATAAACTGGGTGGGGAGGTTGTTGGCTACTTGTAGCTATCTGCGTAAGTCAAATAGGTTGATTTATGCAGGATGTGAGCAATCGCATTACAACCCGGCCGTGAGCACTCTTATCGTGGAGGAAGATCAACTATTGTCAATCTCTTCTCTATTACAATAGAAGCGCAAAGCGAGGCCGTACTGAGTGGAACTGAGATTACGTAAACCCCGGGAAAAATGACTGAGGGCAGGAAGAAAGTCATTTTCAGCGTTTACATTTCTGCCGTTGCGGTTTAAATATACATAGATGCAATTCTGTATCGAGTATTTTGTCATTTCCTAGCTTTGAGCAACTTGTTGCGGCGAGTCGGCTGATGGCAGTGACCGCGACTGTAATGGGCTCGGCCTTGAAGTGAGTAAACTTGGCAATCAAATTTTAGTATTTTTACAGTCCCTTATTATGAGAGATGCATAGTAAGAAGGCAGCCTTCAATTTTTCCAATCCCCCAAAAAGTCGGATGGGGCCATTGCGGGGGGATCGCGCTATCTCCTATCCCAAAATTGGTTTCGAGAAATTAACGACAGCAAATCCTTAATTTGGCGTGCATTGTATTTCTTTCCTTTACAGTTTGATGAAGAACATGCCACCTACACCTATCTGTGTTCAATAAATGTCATTTTTCC